TTATTGGTTTTGAGAGATTTGACAGTAATTTGTACACTAACATACTATTAAAAACATATATTACCTTCAATATAAGCTGTCAAAGCATTTTGTTGAGAATTGATATCTTCAATTTGCTTTTTTCTAATATCATCAGTTTTCTTCTTTTTTTTCACCCTGCTTCCATAAGTTCTAATGCAATCGGTAGTCATTTGGTTCCAGAAGAATGACCCTTTTTTATAATTTTTTTGGAATCTTTATTTCAGAAAGTTTTATTTCTGGAACTGCTAAAATATCATCAAGTCTTTGCAACAGGGTCGACTTTTGTTGTTAATCTGAAAAATTCATATATCTTGCTTCAATCTCATATAATCGAAACTTGATCAAAGAATTGTTAGAATTATTTGAAGTTAAGTCATTCTTTAGATGATAAAAATCGACTTGGTCTTTGTCAGGAAACAGTTACCATCTCTTTAAAATAATTGTTAATATAACAGGACCTTTAATTGGAAGCATATGTCGACAGGGTATATTATAATTGACCTGTAATTCACATAAACAAGCCTTGTACGTAGTCACTTTAAGAAGCTCATGCTTGATTTTATTCAAAGCAAATTGAGCTACCTTTCCTAAAAGTGGTTTCAGTCGATTCTTGTCATCCAATGTTAATAAAAGATCAATATTTATACTTTCATTCTCATATTGCAATAACCTCTCTTCATGATGCAAATGTAACCATCTGTTTAGTGAATTAAAGGATTTCGTTAAACTTCCAGAAGTCTCGATAGCATGCTTCATAGCTGAATGTGCACCTTCAACATGTTGTGTCATTGTGGTATCAAGATGCATTATTCTGCTAGTGTAAATTCTAACCCACTTCTCTTTAACTTTCATCATCCTTTAAAAAGTTAAAAAATAAAATTAAAATTGAAAATAAAACGAAATAAAAATAGAAATAAGAGAAAAAAATTAACACTTTCCTGTCAAGATATTTGATTACTTCATTTGCATTTAAACTTGAAGAAGCCAATATTTTATATGAAGCAATTGCTAGATTTAACATTTTATAATCTCCAGTATAGATCAACTGTTCTACTATTTTTATAATTTCGTCAAAAGAATCATCCACAAAGTGTTTTCTTAAATTTTTCTTGAAGTTATTCAAAATATACAATATACATAAAAGATGTTCAGATTGAGAAAAAGTTTTTTTTAAGGGCACCGATTAATGCAGCATCGTTATCTGTAACGAATATAGAAAGCAAAATATTAAAAAAAATAAGAGAGGAAAGCTTTTCAACCACCCAAATATACGACTTCTCAGATTCGTCTGAGATCCAGGCACTAGCTATGCCAAAGGTTTGTAATCGAGTAACTCCAATATTACTGATACCGACAAAATTTACAAATGGTAGTTTGTAAACATTCGTTTTATAAGTCGCGTCAACTAAAATAACTTCTGAAAAGCATCTAGCATCTTGAATGGAATTATCATGACAAAAGAAAAGATGTTTGATACATCTATCTATATATAAATTTGGTTTAAGTGTTAGAATTTCTATATAATTTTTAAAATAAAGTTAAAAATAGAATATAAGATAGTTACCTTCATAGTTCTCATGATGTACAGTATATCCTCTTTTTTCCATATTTATTATTAATATTTCCATTGATGCATTTTCCTTTGAATGGTAAATTTGTGCACCCAAATTAGAAATATCTCTTCTTGTTGCAATTGGCTCTCCATTTTCACCTCTAATGGCTTTGTAAATCATACTGGGTTTGGTACCAGCTTTTAATATTTGCATAGCCATGCATTTTGTATCTCGTGTTAATCAGCGATGTTCAGAAAAAACCCTTATATCTTTAGCCTTAGGATGGTTGTGTTCATTTATTACTTTAATGACTTGCCATTTAGAGTTTGTTGGAATGGCCTTTAATAAAAATGGACATCCACAACGTTTGCTTATCTTTTTTTTTTGACGTGTATCTATTGTTAAATTTGATGTATTTTGAGGTTGACCTCCACGTTTACACTGAAGATAAAGATGACGATAACTACTACTTTTAAAAGTAACCACAAATCCAGAACATCATGCTATTTCCTGAATGATATTAAAAATGTCTTTCTTTGTATCATAAATTTGTTCTAGCATCTTAATGGCTAATAAAAAAAATATCAGTTAATAATTTATATTAATTATAATATATTTTACACAATTCTATACTTTTGGTTTCAAATATTTCTATTTCATTTTCTTTATTGGATTCGACCTTATCCTCATCATTCGATTCTGCCTTATCATTAAATTCGATGTGGTTATCTTCATTAAATCTGAACTCAAGATCGCTCATTTTGTGACAAGAAAGCAAACGTTTGATATTACTTTGTTCGAGTTAAGTATGAATATATTGGGGTCACGTATGATAAGTTTTTTGTTTTTTACTTATTTTTTTTAAAAAATTTTATTGCAATACAATTAAAATTATTAACCTTCAATTACGTTATTTATTTTATTTATTTATTGATCGATCTTATATTTATTCGTTGATTTTTTATTCTCCGATCTTTTTAATTTCCGAGGAACAATAGTAACAATTACTTAATATGATCATATGTATGTATACTGCCATAACTCGTATTTGATTGGTTAATGAGGCATATTAAAAAATGGGGTACTCGTGTCGATCATTTGTTGTGCCGATAACAAGATAAGTCACGTGCATGTTGTGTCGTTATCAATGCCCGTCCCGTAGCTTTCCCCCAACAAAAATTCACACTCACATGAAAATCTGCAGAAATCATCCAATAGGTGATCACAATTTCGTGTAATGTAACACGATCAGGAAAATTCAAAACAAACGATCGTTTTTGAAAGAGTTAGAGAAAATTGCTTGTTTTTCGAAAATTAGCATAAGAAACCACTTACTGCGCTCTAACAAAAAAATTTTCCCGAGTAATTTTATTATATTAATCACTAAATTCTAACCTTCATACAAACCCTAATCCTACATAAATAACCCTTAAAGAATTTTATCACATATAACATGAGCGTGAATTTTTGTTGGCGATCCTGGCTAAGATCGTGCCCGCGTCTAAAACGGAGATAAATCACGTGACAATCCCCGTGATTGGTCAAAAAATAAAAATTATGAAATTATTTAAATTTCACCTCCGGTGAATTTCACCGTGATTATGTAATAAATGTGTTATGTAGATTTTTGAGAAATAAGTGACTTTGACAAAATGAACGTTTATTTTAAATATTTCTGATCATGTGTGTCACAGAAAACCAATTTATTCCCTGGCATTTTTTTAATAATAAAGATTCTTCGCGATTATGTAAAAATTCTTTTTCCACCAAATATTAACAATACTACCCTAAATATAGAGTATCCAGAAGTTTAAATGACTAAATTTGCAAAATCAATTTTTTTTTACTATAAAACATCAACACCCCCTCTTATCGAAGAGTTTTCGAAATTGGGTTTAGAGTAATTAACCAGCGATGCAGTTATAAATTGTGGAGAGTAAAAATTTATGTTTAATTCATTAGAAATGGGTTAATCAATTATGTATTTAAGATATTTAAGCGGATGTCT